GGGTCTTCGTTGGCGCTGAAAGCACGGCGGTTGGTCTCCATCCTGCCTCCAAACGGCCGGGGACGCAACTGGCGATCGGTCAAACGTTTTTCAGACAGCTCCTTACACCGTGCCTGCAAAAAACAGGCTTGGGGAGGGTGAGCCAAGGGACAGGAAGAGAGAACGATCATAGAATCATCTAGGTTGGAAAAGACCTTTAAGATCATCACGTCCAACCGTTAACCTAGCACTGCCATCCCCGTTTAAATGTCAAATCTTCTTTAATACAAAGCCGTGGCTGCCGCGGCGTGAGGTTAAGGGAATTGTGCTCCTCGTTTCTTGGTTTCCCGTCACCTTTTCACGCTGAAGGCCAACGGTGAGGTGCTTGGCGTGCGAGGGTTTGCTGCGGTGCTGCCTGGTACTCGTTGCACCCTTCGCAGCCCTGATTTGGGCTTGGGTTTTAGTGGTGTGGTCTTAAATAACCAGTTGAAATAGAGCTTATAGTAATGGTTCTGCTGGGAGCAGGGGTCCGGGAGAGCCCAGGGTTACCCGGTGACATCTTAGCAAATGGCAGCAGCAAATCATTTGGTAGCGGAGCAAATAGTCGCTAATTACAGCTGGGTGCACTCGTTTTGTGACCGGCTGAAATCAAAATGAAGCGCCGTGGGGTTTTCCTTCATCGGCGAAGGCCGCGGAACTGCAGACCTGCCGGGTTTGGGGTTGGGGGGGGACGGTCTCGCCATGGGTCTCTGCCGCCGCTGCCCGTCAGCTCTGTCCTCCTCATCCTCATCAGCCCCAGAGCTCATCCCCGCTGGATCGGGACGTTGGGTTTGCAGGCGGGTGGGGGGGAGGCCGGGGGCGATCCTGGGGAGCGGTGCAGGGCCAGGAGTGGGTCCCCGGAGGAGGAGGAGATGGAAGATGAACTTCTGCTTTGCCTCAGGGTCTCCCTGGCCCGTGGGCTCCGTGGTCTGCATGGGGGGGGAAACCCCCTCCCCTAACCTGAAATGAAGGGGAAGGGGGGCCAATGCACACACCTTCAGCCCTGCTTTGGTCGGTGGTTTTCCTTCTCTCTGCTTTTTCCTTTTGGGAGGGGAGGCAGGAGATGCCTGTCTGTCTGTCTGTCACCCTCTCGGCTGACCCGGCTGTTTTCTGTACCCCCAGACAAAGGTGAGAACGGGGAGCCCTATCAGAGGAGGAAGGGGGCGGGGGCCAGCCTGCCTGACGGGCCCCCGGCGTTCCCCGTGGCCAGGGACGGTGCCCCCGCAGCCAGCAGCAGCAGCTGGAGGCGGATTATGCTGATGATCCTCGCTATAACCATCCACAACATCCCAGGTAAGTCCTGTCTGTCTGTCTGTCCCTCCAGCCCGGCTCGTGGGCAGCCTCTTCCCAGGGTCGGGGCCATCCTGGGAGGATCGTACGGGGCTGCCGCCGTCTCTCCCTTCTTTTTCTTGCTGCCCCCTTGCCCAGCGGGTGCCCGGGTGCCTCTTGACGAGGTCCCTCACGGCACATCTTGCTCTCTTGGTAGGGCTGAACCACCTGAGGTCTTGGCAGCAAAACCCCCCCCCCCCACCGTGAGGAGGGGGCTCGGGGGGAGCTTGTGCTGCATCTTGGAACATCTGCAGCCCCGCTGGTGACTGCCGGGCTGTCGTGGGCGAAATGGTAAATCCGAGGGTATATTGGGAAAGGTGACGCTGGAAAGGCAACAGATTCTGGTCTCTTCTCGTGTCTCTTCTGGTCTGTGTACCTGCAAGAGATGCTGCGCTGCGGGAGCACGTACGATTGGGGGCTTCTTACTCAAGGGATGGAGTTGGCCAATAGATGGAAAACGGGAGAGCCCCGAGTCCTGGAGGGCTGTGTCCTTCCAGGGGCTGGGCTGCGAGCCTACAGAAAAAGATGCAATGGAAAAAAAAAAAAAATAGAGATAAATTTGTAACAGCTGAGGACACTGGACTGCTCTGCAGCTCTTGGTGATGTTGGAAGTAATATAATGCGACCTTGTCAATCTCTGGTTTTCCCGGCTCCCTCTTCCCTCCCTCCTCCTCTTCTCCTTCCCCTCCCCTTTTCTTTCTCTCTTCCCAGCTCAGTCGCTGCCTGTCTCGGGTTGTAGCCTGGAGAGGGAATAGGAAAAGGCTTTTCTGCACAACTTGGATCTGTAAACTTGGGGAAATCCGATGAGCGCCTTTGGAAGAGCCGTGGTTTCTGAGCTGGGGCGAACGCGTGGCTTGTTGGCGAGGAGGCGGCTGCTGCCGGCCACGAGCACGGGGCTGGCTTTAACCATCGGAGCCGGGGAGCTGCCCTGTGTCCTCACGGGTGCTTTTCCACTCGGGGAGCCACTTTTATCCGATGCTGGGGCACCCGTCTTAAATTCCATCACTGGATGGGCTTTCCGGGTGAGAAGGCTCCGTTACGGGTCTGTAATCGCAGATTCTGTGTTTTCCCCCCCTGCAAGGGCACACCCAGGATCGAATGGCAGGAAAAAAATCCAAGCAAGCCATGCCGCGGGCTGTCTCGGTGCTGGAGCTGGGCTGTGCGTGGGCACGCTTCTCCTGGAGCGCTCCCGAGCTGCCGGCCCTTCCAGCCTCGGGGCTGCTCGCTTTGCTCTGGGCAGCAGTTGCTTCCTTCCAGCACCCTTGGGTGCTCCTGCCCCTGTGGATTTTCCTCCTTTCATCCCCTTTTTTTTTTTTTTTTATTATTATTATTATAGGTAGGTAACTCGGATGCCTTAGTTCAGCTCCAGGGATTGCTGGGGGAGGCAGATGCCGGGCAGACGAGGCAAGGAGGGAGCTTTAAATCAGCCGTACACGCAAAAAAAGGGGGAAGCGTTTGCGCCAGGCGATTGTAATTGGATTTCATCCTTCAAACGAAGCGCCAGGGAGCGGGGGTGAGGAGCCGGGCGGCGTGGGCCCCTCGCTGCCTCTCGCCATGCCGGCTGGGGATTCCTGTCTCTGTCACTGGCAAAAAAAAGGGAAGTTTTGTAGACAAGTGGCCAAAGCGTCACCCGTAGCGATAGGTTAATGGGAACACGGCCCGGCTGCCGCAGAGATGCCGGTCTGACCTTTCATTGCTTTTGCAAGAGCACAAAGCCACCCTTGGATGGTTACAGAGGCTCAGAAATTCTCTCGTGCATCTTAAAGGTCAGAATATTAAAGCTTAATATTCCCAGCGGATGGTTCTGCTGCTCAGCCCCTGCCCGGAGGCTCGGCTCAGCTCAGTGAGGGTCTCTGGGTCGCGGTGGGGGTGTCTGTCCCTGCCAAGCCCTGTCCCCAAATCCCTCTCCTGCTCTCTCCCAGCCGGCACGTGCCTTTCCAGCAGCCCCACGGCGCTGTTGTGGGTGACAGTGGCTGGTGGCCCTCGG